TTATGTTAGTAAATCATGATAAGATTGGATTCATCTGCCAGTCCATATGAGGGTAGATGTCAGAAAGTGTTGCTACAAAATCATAGAACCTTTCATAAAACAAACATCAAAACGCGGAGCCATTTTTTCTCAGCATGCCCTTCATCTAAGTCTACATAATTCTAAGGGCAGTGTGTCTAGCTCTCTAACCTCTCTCAAATGAACTCTGCCTTTTGCCATTGACACCCTCTCCAAACAGCAGTTTTGGTTACCCTGAGGGACACAGCTTAGGTTCCTTTTCAATGTGTTTCTGAGTTTGGGGAAGAAAAATAAACCTGAAGTGGCAATATCAAAACTCCAGGGAGGATGGGGTTATATTTTGCAGTGTGATTATCCTAGGAGAGCCCTGGCTACCCAAAAAGAATGAGCAGGTGCATTGTCATGATGGGAAAACCAAAAGAAAGACACGGGGTGCAACTTGCCTGGCCATCTTCTCAGCAATGCAGTTTTCTATTTTCTTGTAAATTATTTCCGTGGTAAGTCCCCTTGATCATCCTGCATTCTAAGAGAAAATCTATCAAGATTATCTATCTTAAATCCTCAACTTCAATAACCTTCTGACCTGACCTCTATGCCTTGAATTTAACCAGCCCAGCAGATGTTGGCAGAAGTCATTGTTTTGACTGAACCTTTTTTTAAGGTGCTCCAATGAGGATAAGATGAATGTATTACTTAGAGAACTTATCTGCAGCCATCGACTGATTCTAGAGACCTATTTGAACTCATTTTGTTTGGGATAAAGCCAGGCACATATGAACTGGAACCCTAACGGCAAAACATTTTGACTTACCCTCATGTATTGAACCATCCAATCCCCTGATTAAATGTTAGGGTAAACTTTTCACCTCCTTCTCTAATGTCTTCTTTTTCATTACCAAATGTATGGCTACTTACTTGTTCCCACTATTTTTATTCTTAAAGCCTTTGGAATCACCTTGGATTTACAGTAGCTTAAAGAATATGAGTAGAGAGAAAGAACCAGTAAAGGGTTCTCTGAATTTGGAATTGGAATTGACTATGAGACAGATGTTAATTCCAGTCAAAGAGAGAATAACCGCAGATACTATAAATTTATGCAGAAATGGGATCAAGTCCAGAAAAGATTTACTTAAGCCACAAGGTTGCAGGCAGTGTGTACAGTCAAGGTGTCTAACCATTTGAATGGTTGGATGTGATCAGGATCATTAACTTTGAGACAAAAGCTGATGGAACTCTTTTTTCTCAAAGTATTTATAAATCTATAATCCTGTTCTGATGGTGAGAGTAGGTGATCAAAGACCTATCAACCAAAGTAAAGGTCCTGGGATCATTTGGTAGTTATTGCACCTCTTTTTTTTGTTTGAGTTATTGGTCCTCTTATTTATTGATGCTAGAATAAGACAAGTAGACACATTTATGAAGATTACATTAGTTTTGATATGAGATCATCAGTGGTAATGCAATAGAATGGAGGCACTGATTTGTAGAACAATTAGTAGAGTTTCATAAAAATTTTATAATAGTTCTTACTACACACAATTATGGTATCTAAAAGTAGAATTTGATTCATGAATCATTCAAAATTATTTTAAAATACTTATGACTGCATATATAGTACATCTTGTATTTT